ATCGGGATAAAAAGCGATCGGGATAAAAGGCGAAAGCATAGCCAAGGAGTATTCGAGTTTAAGTTTTGAAGATGACTCCTGCAGATGCCCCAGGGACGGCGCTGTGGCGGCTCAAAGTAGGGTACCTACGACATGTAAAATTTTTAAACTCGTGCCATTTTTTTGTTTTTCACCCAAATTTTATATTTTGTGAAAGCGCTCGACGAGATCTTGAAAAAACATGCTTGGACATACTACTTATCTCTTATAATATTCGAGTTATAGGCATTTAAAAATTTAGTGATACAAAATTTACCATACCTTGGTCCTTTTTGAATACCGGGCGTAATTTTGGACCAAATGGACTCAATTTTTTCTTGTTAGTTAGACAACAAAATTTCCAATAATATACAAAAAATTTCAGATCAATATCATTTACAGATCCAAAAATATACGTTTTTTAATTTAAAAATTCAAAAAATTTTAGATTTTTGCCGTTTTTTTGCCAAAAATGTGTCTTAACTCTTTTATTAATAAAATAAAATTTTCTTTAAGAACATATAACAATTTTATAGTTTTCTAAAAGGTATCTTTACGCAGAACGCTTTGGCGTAAAAAACTTGTCCTATTTTCTGACATGTTCTAAAATCCCAAAGCTGGGATCAGAAAACTGAAAGCAGTTTTGCCCAGCCCTGAAAGAAATGTGGACCCTATGGGCAAAAAAGTAAAAATCCCATTTTTAGGATTTTTCTTATTTGAAATGCCAAATTTAACAAGCGTTGAAAATTTCATTGAGTTTTGTTCATAAATAAAGATTTTGTCATATATTACATATTTGTTTAATTTCTAAAACTATGATTTATATCAAAATTTTAATAGGGTCGCAGATAGCTACAACAATTTAGTTCATATTTATCCCTTAATATCTTTTTTTAGTTAGATATGGAAATTCTCGACCCTTTACAAAAAATTTCAAGCCAATATCTCAATTACATTCAAAAATATGTTCATTTAAACCTGTGTCCTTTAATTTAATCTTTTTCATATTTTAGTATTAAGTATGACAGAATATACATTTGGTGTTGAATAAAATATTTGGACAATTTTTAAAAATTATTTAGTTAATTATTTTATTAAAGACTATAACATTGTATATACAAAAAAAATTATAATTTTATTATGAGCCACGCACAACAACACCTAAATCACCCCACACAAACCACCTTTCCCGCCCACCGAAACATAAAACACAATTTAATACAATATCATCAGTTAGTATAATAGCTATTTTTATTTGAACTCTTTATCTTAAACATAATACAATTAATTCTTACAACCTACTTATATAGTTAATTCCTAACACTACTTATTTTCTATAAAATTATCTGTCATATCGGTATACATATCCAGAAGGTAATATAAGTCCTTTTAATCTTCCTTGTTTTGAGATGATAGAGTTTCATAACAAATCCATCTTTTTCGCATAGTTGAAAGAACAGGATCAGAAGATAGAAGTAAACTATTAAAAATATCTTCATTCTGTGATTGCTGATTGCTGAGCTGAATAGTTGAACATGGTTAAAATCTCGATTCCTCGCTTCCTGGGCTTCTTCTGTTAACTCTCCAAGTGGAAGAATATTCGATTCAATTATTATTTGACCATGACACAATACTTTGTGTACTGTTGGTGTTAGTTCCCTCCATGGATACAGAGATACAAGTAATTTAGAAATTTCAGATGTATATTCCCCAAATCGATTTCCATTAATTTTATGTTTACTATTCAGTGCCATTAAAATAGTGTTAACTCTTCGAAGCAACTCCTTGTCGATTCCAGTTATTTTTGAAGTAATTTTAAAATCACGAAAAAACCTTCTCGCCGTATTACCGTCATTTGTACTACCGCAACTTGGAAGTGGTTTGTCGATGTTTAATCCCATCTGAACTTTAAATTCTTCTTGGATTCTGCTTTTTTCCACAGCTCTCAGTTCTTTCAATTCTTCATTATTTTTTGTTGATTTAGTAAGATTCTCTGGCACACTTCTATATTTGAGGTCGTATGCTATGTGTAAAAAGTAATCCAAAAATCGTATTCTGGCATGAAGTGGTGAAATTCCAAAAGACAGGACTTCTTCATTAATACTTCTGCTTTTGTTTATATTTGAGAATTGCGATTTTTTTTCATTACATATTGAGCATCTCCAGAAGGAAGAAGTTTCTGTTATGGCATTGCTGACCTTTCCATCAATCATTGTTAAGCTTAGCTGATATGATACGTTAATAGAGAATTCCTTTATTTTTATGCAAATGGGCTCCAGTGCATTTATTTCATCTTTTAAATATTCCACTAAATCTTTTGTTGTTTTCTTTGACTCCTTTATATATTCAAATCCAATGGGTCTACAAAAATTTTTTGAACCCGGAGTTGTATTGATCCATATATCTTCAAATGAATTTCCGATGCTTGACGATGATGGATTAAGGGAATATGAACGAATTCGTAATGGCACTGATGATGACATAAACACACTTTTGTAGTCTGCTAATGTCCGACTTCCACAAGCTTGTTTGTATTCTGGAAGTGCTGATAAACCGTCACATCCTCACTTACACATTAAGACAACATCACAGTTATGAATTTTCCTTAGTTGGTCTTCTGAAAAGTCTGACACAATTCTTGATGCTGTGTTTTCGAGCAAAGATGATATATCAATACAAGCTTCCACATCATTAACAGCAATAGGTGATGGTAGGATAGTTTGTTTTTTTTCCTGGATCGCCTTGTATGATGGTAATATATTGTGTCCTTTTTCATGCAGAGCTTTCCTTAATATTTGGTACTTATTTCGACTGAGACCCAGTTCCAACATAAGCGCTATTGCTTCCTCTTCAGTAAAATTTGATTGTCATGTTGGAGTTGATATACTTTCCACAATTCGCTTAAGTCGTTTTGGTGATGTATTAGGAAGAATAGTTGCAATATGTACGGCATCCATAGGTTGGTTTTCCTTTTTCAGCATTTCGTTAAATGTATCAGCAATTTCCTCATTTGAGATTGAAAAAAGTTTTTGTGTGACCCTCTTTTTTTTGACCTTGAACATAAGTCTTCGTATGACTTGCAAGGCGCTCCTGTTGATGTGTTGTAAGTTGAGATTTCCGTAGTAGTTTCCATCCAACTACAAAATTTTAATCGAAATTTCTTTTGATTTCCATCCACAGACTTACTTTTTACATCAAAAAGTTTTAAAAAGTTTTAAATTTTTGATATGCCTGTTTTGTCTACTTTTCTACTATATGTAGTTTTTATATAATTTGAAATGTCTTCAATTCTTTCTGGCCCTTTTGAAGATACACTCCATAAAACGGAACACAACTCTTCGTACTTTAATGTAATCTTCATTGTAGATTTATTAAATATGGTACTTAAAATCTAAGAAGTTTACTTATATACCAAAGTAAAAAATTACGAATTGTCTACCTATTAACATTTAGGACTATATTACTATAACCTGTAATTCAGTCATTAATATTTCTTATTAGTGAATGAATCGAAATTATCATTACCTGTATATTTTTACCTACATGTTCATAAACGAAACAACGAAATGATCTGTCGAAAAAATTTAGGTAAAAAATAGTTATAAATTTTTGAAAATTTAAGCATAATAGGACCTTTCAATTATAAGGATAAGCAAACAAATAGAAAATAGGTAAATATAAGATTTAAATATGTTCTGTCATACTTAATACTAAAATATGAAAAAGATGAAATTAAAGGACACAGGTTTAAATGAACATATTTTTGAATGTAATTGAGATATTGGCTTGACATTTTTTGTAAAGGGTAGAGAATTTCCATATCTAACTAAAAAATGATATTAAGGGATAAATATGGACTAAATTGTTGTAGCTATCTGCGACCCTATTAAAATTTTGATATAAATCATAGTTTTAGAAATTAAACAAATATGTAATATATGACAAAATCTTTATTTATGAACAAAACTCAATGAAATTTTCAACGCTTGTTAAATTTGTCATTTCAAATAAGAAAGTGCAAAAAAAAATTGAAAAGGCATCCCGCAATTCCCAAAAATAGGAATGAAAATCCCAAAAATGGAAATAGGGTCCACATTTCGTTCAGGGCTGGGAAAATACTTTTGGAGTAAATAGAAAACATATTGAGGTTTCCAAAACTGCTTTCAGTTTTCTGATCCCAGCTTTGGGATTTTAGAACATGTCGCCCAAAGTTGAAGTTTTTTACGCCAAAGCGTTCTGCGTAAAGATACCTTTTAGAAAACTATAAAATTGTTATATGTTCTTAAAGAAAATTTTATTTTATTAATAAAAGAGTTAAGACACATTTTTGGCAAAAAAACGGCAAAAATCTAAAATTTTTTGAATTTTTAAATTAAAAAACGTATATTTTTGGATCTGTAAATGATATTGATCTGAAATTTTTAAATTAAAAAACGTATATTTTTGGATCTGTAAATGATATTGATCTGAAATTTTTTGTATATTATTGGAAATTTTGTTGTCTAACTTGTCTAATTGAGTCCATTTGGTCCAAAATTACGCCCGGTATTCAAAAAAAGGCGGACCAAGGTATGGTAAATTTTGTATCACTAAATGTTTAAATGCCTATAACTCGGATATTATAAGAGATAAGTAGTATGTCCAAGCATGTTTTTTCAAGATCTCGTCGAGCGCTTTCACAAAATATAATCTTTGTATTTGGATGAAAAACCAAAAAATGGCACGAGTTTAAAAATTTTACATGTCGTAGGTACCCCATTTTGAGCCGCCACAGCGCCGTCCCTGGGGCATCTGCAGGGTTCATCTTCAAAACTTAAACTCGAATACTCCTTGGCTACGCTCACGCCAAATTTTATCCCGATCGGATCAGCCGTTTAGAAATGCCAGATTTATTTCCAAAAAATTTCCATTCTGCCCCACTGTGGTATGTATATGTATGTACTTTTCCTTTGACACAATCACTTTTATATCAATTTACTAACCTTTTAAAAAAAGCTATCTTAAAAACTCTCCAAACAAAAGGGCACTTAAAATTCCTTGGCAAGGGGTCTTCCTTTCATATGCTGGAGGATGAACTTCTTCGTGTTTTATCCGCTAGATTAAGATCAAGATGTGTAGATTATCCTCGATTCGAAGCAACAATTTAATTAATCCGGTTCGAAGCGACCAATGTTTCGGCGTCAATCCGATTTGGTTCAGTGTAAATGCACAAAAAGAATAAAACACAAAGAATTATTAGTTTTATAAAAGGAGAAGATTTGTCTTCCTTTATTTATATATTACCTTAAGCATGTATGCACAACAAGAAGTGCTCTTTAAGGCTTCTATATGACGAATGTTAAACAACTACTTATTTCTAAGTATGGAGGCTAACAAAGTTTAAATACAGTTAGCTGTTTATTCGTTGAATTAGTAATAGTTTTCCATCAAAGATGTAAACTAAAGTTGTAAATCATTAGGATTTACACTTAGAGGAAAAATACCGCAAATAATCGATTTGTACTTAAACACCCACCTTAAAGTCCGTCTGGCTGGCTGGCTGTCCATGTAAACCTTGTGCGCAAGGTACAGGTCGCAATTTTCAAGATAATTGGATGAAATTTGGCACGCCCGTTTTATTTGACCCAAGGACGAAGCCTATTGAAAATGGTTAAAATCGGTCCATTATTTCACCTAGCCCCCATAGAACAGAACCCCCCGAAAAGGGCTTCTGAGCTCATAATTATGTTAAATATACAGATATATCGATAAAATACGGCACAACTAAGTTATGTGTGGTAAAAAGCTTTTATACACTAACACTTTTAAAGAAAATCATACTAATACATATTTAGAGTTAGGTTTTTTCCGGGAGAGTTGGCCTTCTACGGTAATATTCTATGTTATTCAATATCAGTTTTTTTTAGTAATTTTTTTTTTGAATCATTGACAATGTGTATGAGTATAAAACAAGTAAGAAAGTATAGTCGGGCGTGGCCGACCATATGATACCCTACACCAGTTATGAATATTAAATGTGATTTATTTTTCATAATAAAGCATTTATCTTCAATATTCCCTTGTTCCGATACATTTAAGCAATTTATGGATGAAAAACTAATTTTCTGAAAGAGGTTTTATATGGGGGCTAGGGGCAAATATGGACCAAGCCCGATAAAATTTTGTGAATATATTTATATTTACATAATATTTTATTGTGCTGAATTTCATCGTGATATTTGTGTTTATAAGTTAATTTGGGACATTGAAGTAATTTTCTGAAGGGGACTTTGTATGGGAGCTAGGGTCAAATGGGGCCCGATCTTTATGAAATTTGGCAGCGTCATCAAGACTTCTATAAAACTTAGTTGTGCCGTATTTTATCGATATATCTGTATATTTAACATAATTATGAGCTCAGAAGCCCTTTTCGGGGGTTCTGTTCTATGGGGGCTAGGTGAAATAATGGACCGATTTTAACCATTTTCAATAGGCTTCGTCCTGCCAAATTTGTGCGTGCCAAATTTCATCCAATTATCTTTAGAATTGCGACCTGTACCTTGCGCACAAGGTTTACATGGACAGCCAGCCAGCCGGACGGACGGACATAGCTTAATCGATTCAGAAAACGATTCTAAGCCGATTGGTATACTGTAAGGTGGGTCTAGGACGAATATTTTTGTATGTTACAAACATCAGCACAAATCCGCTAAAGTGGTGTAGGGTATAATTACGTTTTGTTTTTATTCCAAAACAAAAAATAGTTTTATTCAAAAATTTGAATAAAACACGTTTGATTGTACTATTCACAATCATTGAAATGAAGTGTTTGCCAGAACGATTTTGATTTTATTCAATATTGAGTTTTATTGAAAGACTAAATATGATTAAATATTTTATTATATGATTCAGTCAAGAAAAAAGGTGATTTTTGCAGTTCTCTGATGGGAATATGGTTTTTAGTGTAGCAAAGCACACGGGGTAAGCTAGTTTTTAATAAACATTTTGAGACAAAAAGTGGACACTGAAAATTTTAAGATATATGTTTTTTACATTTTTATAAAAAACTAACTATATCCAGTGTGCTTTGCTACCCTAAAGCAATATGAATAAAAACCCCACTTAACGATTTGGAAGATTCATACTACAATGTTTTCCACATATACAATTTTTATATATGAGAGATGCCACGCAAATTATTGCAAGTTCGCCAATTTTTCCGAACGTTAATTAAGATTTTAATGCAATCTATGAAAAATTTTTATAATCTAATAGTTTACCAGATGTACGAAATTTTGTATTTAATTCATATGGGTGGTGCCAAGCCCCTCCAGATAAAAGTCCGCCCTTTTTTCTCCAAAATGTTCTGATGAATGTTAAAGTTTTTCGTGAAAATTTTGAAGAATCTAGTTTAGTTTCCCAGATAAACGAAATTCTGTAATTAATTCATATGGGAGGTGCCAAGCCCCCATTAAAAAGTAGCCTATAACCTCTTCCAGATATACAGGAATACACTGAGAAAATTTCAAGAAAATCGGTTCAGCCGTTTAGTAGTCTATAAACCTTGTTTTTTGTTCATAAATAAAATTAAAAAAAAAAAAACAGGTAAAAAGTAAATTTATGTTTTCCAATTGAAAATAGAGATTGTGTAGAATGGGAAAACCAAGAAAAAATATTAAAATAAAAATTTTGGTGCATTTGTTGTTGCATTTTATTATTTTTCATCAAAATTTGCACGTCAATAAAGTATTTTGCATATTAAAATTTCCAGTTAATTTCGTTGGGTTTTTAAAATTATTTTTTAATTGCTTTTTGGAATTTATTGTTTTATTGTTAAAAGGACACGTGTTAAGTATTTTTCAATTGTAATTTTCAAAAATCATATCCTTATTGTGTGAAACTAGTTATTGTGTGAAACTAGTTATTTGCGTTAAAAATGTTTAAAGGGAAATAACGAGGCAATTCCAATATAAAAAAAGTTTAGATTTTTAGAACAAGTATAAATCAATGAAATTCAATTATGAGATGTTTAATCAATCATAAAAAATATAAAATATAGAAATTGATGAAATAACATAAAGAACAAAACTTTTGTTTCCGTATTGAGGATACTAACATTTATGCATATGACAGACGGACATAGCTTAATCAACTCCGCTACCTATAAGTATCCAGAATATATATACTTTATGGAGTCGGAAAATTATATTATAGTAATTACAAACGGAATGACAAACTTATATATACTCTTCTCACGAAGGTGAAGGGTATAAAAATGAATTTCAATTATGAAATTGCTCATATTAATTTAATAATTAAATTACATATTTCAATTAATTTGTTATATAATAATTTGTTACATATTTTGAATTTGTCATTCCGTTTGTAACACATCGAAAGATTAATCATTGACCCACAAAATTATATACATATGTGTACTCTAGGTCCCCTTCAGAAAATGATTTTCAAGCTCATTACTGGCTTAAAAATTTTATTAGGATCAGTCCATAATTGACCATATACCCTATATAAGGTACCCTTCAGGAAATTACTTTAACGCTCATTACTGCGATGAATTTTAAACGTACAAAATTTTGTGAGAATCGGTCCATAATTAACCCCAACCCCATATAATATCCACTTCAGAAAATGATTTTGCTGCTCATTACTGGTGCAATGATGAAAATCGACGTGTTTTATACTAACCGAAATCTCCCTAACAAATTGTATGATTATCGTTCCCCCACTAACCCTGCCACTCATATAAGGTCCCCTTCTTTGACTTTAAGTCTCATCACTGGCTTAAAAATACGAGTATAGCGAAATTAGATCAACTTCTATGTACAAAACTTTATGAGGATCGGTCCTTGATTGACCCTATACCCATTAATTAAAAATCCGGCGATGAAATCCGACACAAACACTATAAGTTTAAAACCAACCGAAATTTGTGTTCTAAATTTTATAAGGATCAATTCATAACACGGTATGACAAAATTACAAAAAACCAATACACTCATCGCGAGACCTAGTGAATTTTGTAAGTCTAGTAGAGTAGATAAGAGTCTTCAATATACCCTAAAATCGAAAGATATTGGACAGTTTTGGTAGACAGTTAAATGATAACTGCAGGTGGTGAAAATATTTTTAAACTGTCTCGGAAAAAGTTTCTTTTGTACTTTTCAAAAAGTACACACACTTTTATATTTTTTAAAGAAATGTGTAAAATAAATACAAATTTTTATATTTTTAAAATGTTTCTACAATTCAAGATCATTTTTTATTTTAGCTCATACTTTTATGAATAAAAAAAGATATGAAACGTTGAAATCAGATAAAAACTGGCAATAGAATTTTTTCGTAAAAACAAAAATTTACCAAATCTCTCATTTCTAAAGTAAATTGAAGATTATAAAAATGGTAAAATGATCTACCCATCTAGGTCTATAAAAAGCATTATATCGCGTAATGAGTGTTTTCGAATGTCACACAGTGTAATTGGCCTTCCCCCATATAACCTCACTTCCAGAAAAAAGTTTATGGTTAGAAAAATTAGATCAACATTTTTTTTTAGTTTTTATATATTTTAATATGAAACAGCTCGGTCAATAATTGACTTAAGCCCTCATTAAAAGTAATATTCCAAATATCACTCTGATGTTTACATTAATCTCGATTGTAAAATTCAACATAAATCTAATAAATGACAATAATAAAAGGACTGATTCATAAATATCAAAGTTTATTTATAGGGTAGTTTTCGTATTTATGATTTGATGGTGAGTATTAAGATTCGGCACACCCGAATTTTATAACACTCTTACTTGTTTAATTAATTTAAATATATCCCCAACTGAAATTTCGCTAAATATCAACAAAAATAATATTTAAACTAAATATCAACAAAATAATTAAATTTATAAATATATGCACAAAACTCTCATATAATGTTTGTAATATTTATAAACGTGTGTTCCTGAAGCACGCAGAAAAAACTGAAAATGCGTTTTAATTATCAAATTAAAGGTACAGGACCAATGTTGAGCTCAAAAACATATACAGTGAATCAACTATGTTTTTTGTTTGTTTAAGAGAATTTTGTTTTTTGTTCATAAATAAAATTAAAAAAAACAGGTAAAAAGTAAATTTATGTTTTCCAATTGAAAATAGAGATTGTGTAGAATGGGAAAACCAAGAAAAAAATATTAAAATAAAAATTTTGGTGCATTTGTTGTTGCATTTTATTATTTTTCATCAGAATTTGCACGTCAATAAAGTATTTTGCATATTGAAATTTCCAGTTAATTTCGTTGTTTTGGTTTTTCATATTATTTTTTAATTGCTTTTTGGAATTTATTGTTTTATTGTTAAAAGGACACGTGTTAAGTATTTTTCAATTGTAATTTTCAAAAATCATATCCTTATTGTGTGAAACTGTGTAGTTATTTGCATTAAAAATGTTTAAAGGGAAATAATGAGGCAATTACAATATAAAAAATTAGTTTAGATTTTTAGAACAAGTATAAATCAATG